AATACGCAGTCTGCCATGGTTGCTACGGATAGCCCAGCAACAAATATATAACTCAGACACATCACTCTATCATATAGCTAAATTATTCCCTAGATTTCATTCTTGACAGCTTCACCAAATAATATTCATTGATCGAACTATTTGCTTGCATAAGCACTTATAATAAATGTGTTATGTTTGTGTCCGTTTCGTGTTAGTTAATTACACAACCAGGGAGTACTACACAGCTGTTTCATCCTAGTTTGAGACTCATCGGCAGCACGCACCCACTGGGGTACGAACCCGGGATCTTCAGGGTACAAGGTAAGCTCGTATACCATTCAGCCACTGGGACCTGATTCAATGACCCCTGAATTTTAATCTCTACCAATTCGTGACTTCAGCGCGGCCACCAACCAATATCATCGGCAGGCAATTTATCCACACTCCTGACTGGACGGACCTCAGTGGTCACGACTTCTCACTAGAACTCCAGGCAACTCCGCCCTGCGACAAGTCACCAGCGAGCATCAGATTAATTTCCAAGAGTTTATTTGAAAGAATTAGATTTGTTTTTCTAGTTTGACCACAGATTGATATCAGTTAGAGAACCAGTGAAAACCAGGGGGTACTGGACAGCTGCTGTTTCATCCTAGTTTGGGAGTGAGGATGGAGTTCCCACCGATGACATTGGTTGGTGGTCGCGCTAAAAATCATATACTGGTAGAAGTTAGAATTCATGGGCTATCCTCTGAACTGGGTCCCATTGGCTAAATGGTATATGAACTTATAACCAGAAGGTCCTGGGTTCGAACCCTGGCGGTGGGTGCGCACTGCCAATGAATCTCAAACTAGGATGAAACAGCTGTGCAGCACTCCCTGGTTCTTGATGTTTCTTTAATTGATGTCAGTCTGTGGTCAAACTAGAAAAACAAATCTAATCCTTACGAATCAACTCTTAAAAATTAATTATACGATTACTGCAAAGTAATACCAATCGAAAGTTCGAATTTCGTTCGAGAAATACTGTTAATTTAGATGAATGAAATCAAAGAGGATGCTCTTTTTAGTGCAGAAATATTCTTCACCACCGTATTTAATGTTATAGTTAAGAAATCTTAGAAGTATTTCAAGTTACTTTGATTAAACTTTGGTTTTCTGATCAACTTTTGTGGTTAAAGGTATTTGTTCTCCAATGTCAGTAGAAAAAATAATAAGATAATACAGTTCGCAGTAAAGATAAGGCACCATTATTAATGCTATCAAAAACGTTGCTTAATATACACCGCACATTCTATGGGTAGCCTTAAATATTATATATGCCATGGGGTAAGGTCAAAACTAGTTTAATTCTAAGTCCTCTGTATAAATTTGACAATATTCTGGTAAAGTAAAATGAGTATTCTATGGAGTACAATTCCTCTTTTCGAAGCACTATGCAAATATGCTGTCAGTATAAAAGTAAAAAACCTCGCCTCGTTTACTAGCTCGCTAGTTCTCCAGCCGGTTCCAAGCCCTAGTAAAGATGGAGGGCTGAGTGTGTGGCTATCGATCCTACCCCACAAAACCAATCAAACTACTGCAGAAACTTCAGCGCGCAATAAAAATATTAAAAATGCACAAAATATTTTAGAAAAAGACCTATTCTTAGATGAAATTGGAGGGGCAAAATGACGCAAGCTGATGAAGGCCTTCGGGAAGCCAGTCAGCCGATGTATCTTCTCTCGAAAAAAGCAAGAATAAGAATGGGACATGGGTCACGTTTCAGGTGGTCAACAATAGGAAACTCATTGAAACATCTGAAGTGAATACAGGAGTAAGGCAATGTTGCCAGCCTATTATCACCGATGATATTCCTAATTGTGGTGGACTGTATTATGCTCCAGAATTTGGAGAGTGAGAAGACAGGAATACACTGGACCACCGATAAGAAGACTCTAGAAGATCTAGAATCACGCGTGGATGAATTATGTTTAATGTCACGCAAACTTGAAGACTTTATGGTGGAAACCAACAAACTGGCTGAAGAAGCAGCCAGCGAAGATAGGATTGCAGGTGAACATAGAGAATAAGACGGAGGTGATGAAGATAACGAACCAGCAACAACAGTAACAACAACCAGCAACAATTACCATTTGAAAGAGGTTACTTCCTTCACTTATTTAGGAGGCATCACTTCAACTACAGGCCAGCCAGCCAGAATCGGAAGGGCGAGGCAAGATACGCCTCCATCAAAGTGAAATCGATTTGGAAATCCCCTGCACTTAATCAGCCAGCATAAACAACAAGATTCGGATTTTCAACAATAATGAGTCAGTCAGTTATTCTGTACGGGTCAGAAACTTGACCAGAGTGTCACGTAAAGGAGTTCCAAGTCGCTTCAGACTTTTATCAACAGCTGCCGACTTCTGGCTGGCTGGCTGGCTCCATTATCAAGATCAAATAGCCAGCCAGAAAGAATGAGAACCAAAAAACTCTGGCTATCTGGGACCAAACCAACAAGCAACAGTCGATTGCTTAACAAATGTGTAGAATAAAATGGAGATGGATTGGTGAAGCATGAGTTGAGGAGGCCTTCGAATGATGTCGCGGTCAATTCAGGCCGTCGTTCCAGTGGAACCTGAATGGGAAGTGACAAGTGGGTCGTTGGTGCGAGAGTCACATGGAGGAGATCGTGTGGCGGGGAGGAGATGAGAGATAATGGGCAATCCTGGACCCAGCTGGAGAAGATGGCAGAGAATAGAAGAAAGTGGCGATGTGTTGTTGAAGCCCTATGTTCCACTCGGAACCCAAGGGAATAATAATAATAAAATAAAAGTAAATAAACAGTTCACTTAAGGCTGTTTAATGACATTGGACTTTTGATTACCAGAAGTTACAGAACGCTGATAGATATCTTCACATTTTATCCTGGGATTCTTTGTGGAACACTGATAATCTTCAGCAGGTTAAATGGCTTTCTCCAAATCAGATTAGGCCAATAGTTTCCGTTCCAGAAAAGCACTCAATGCAAAACTAATTACGCAACGACTCGTTTTACACTCAATTATAAATATATTTTGTGCTAATGCTTGAAAATTACATGATTTCACACTCGGAAATTCTAATCACATATGAAGGAATGTTAAAAGTGTTGCTAAACCTAGATTCTATGTTTCTCTAACTACCAAGCTTTGGTTTTCATACATCTCATACATTCTTTATGAATTTGAACAGAGCAAAAACAACGGGTTTGTGTAGAATAAGATGGTACCATCGTTTGTTTTGTCGACTTCTTATCACCTGCATTCAGCCTAAAGAAATTACTACAGAAAAAATTTAACATACTTTCAAATAATACATAATGTCAATTGACAGGAGACGTCAAACTTAATAAACAGTGCTCAGAAATAACACTTGTTTAGTTTATATATCGAAGGTTCAAAAAAAGCTTGGATACGATGGAAAAGGAGTTGAGTAATAAAGACAAGAGGTGGATGGAATGATGAGTAACTAATGAGTTAAGTAACAATTTGGTGAGTTCGACTCAAATCAAAGAAACAAGAGACAAGCAGAGTTCAAAGTTGAAGACTACTCACTCAATTAAATGAGACAGAGTGAAACCATCCAGTTAACAGGGCAAGGAAGGACTGACAGCTGCTCCTTTCTGAACACACAAATGGAGTTTCAAGCTTTTGACAGCGATCGCCTAGGGAAACTTGAGGAGAATTAATCAATACTGTCCATTGATGATTTCAAAAGATTTCTTTGCGTCGACTGCATGACTTGATTCGACGCGATGCCTAGTAATGGCATTATTGAAACCGTTTGTTCCCTTGAGGCGTAGGCGTTTTGGTACATGTTCAGGAGATGTACCCTTCTTTCTGTTTTCTCTATGTAACTGGTACATTTGTATAAACAGTTAGAGTTAACACGAAAGGGGTGTCTGTCGACTTTTGATTGCACCATACAGTGTGTTGTCCAATAAACGTAATGTCTAGTTTTGTAATTTTTTCATGTTAAAACTGTTTTGTGCGCAAACTGAATTCATTTATTTAGACTGTACACAGCTGATGAGAAGCCGACGAAGTAAATAATGATGCCAACTTTAGTCTTCGTTTAGATAAATGAAACTGACTGCACACCTAGATCCTTTTTGTTCAGAAAGCCGGTTTATTAGAAGTTATTTATCGTGATCAGTAACACAGAATTCTGTCAGAATCCAGATTTTTATTTCATCTTTAACCCAACAACATTTCTTTACCACTCAAGTTATTCGTTGATGGCATTCTTCGCTTCATATTGAGATAGTTACAACTTACATGTACCAGTTCGACATCAAACTACGAATTACTTGAGACTGCCCTTCGCACACACTTTGCACACTGCCTGGTGCATATAATGTAAAATGAAGTGTGGTGATCATCTCCTGTGGACCCTTTTACAGAGTTTCAAAATATTTTGATGGATGATGAATAGCAGTGGAATCGAGGATGAGGATTTCTTCTTATTTGGGAAACATCAGTAATGTGTACCTGCAATCACCAGTGTGTGACGGCGTTTCTACTGAAACTCGAGCCCAATACCCTTCCTTTCAAACACCAAAGAGTTATCCAACAGAACGTTTGCTCCATGATAGCCGCTTATTGTGTAAAGGGTGTCAGTTAATATTTCCTTAAATCAATTTTGACTTTCCCATTGACTGATAGGACCAAAATGTTCGGCCTCTATCGACCGGTTGCAGAAGAGGGGATTCTCGTGGTCCGCGTGGTTTATTGGTTAGCGACTTGGCAGGCCTCAACTGGGAACACCATCACACACTGAGGGCTGTAGGTTTATTCACCTGATAAATCCAAAATAGGAGGGAATTCGCATCCTGGATTCTACCACTGCTATTCAACGTTCATCAAATTACTTCATGTTAATCCTCAGACATCGTGGAAGCTTCCATACTGGAAACCAATGTGTCAACATTTCGTTCAAGCAGCCAGAAGCACAATCAAAATTAACTTGGACAAATCATGAATAATTCTGGAACTCACCTGGCTAAAAAGAATGCAATTAATGAAAAGGCGATTACAGCAGTCAATACCGACATGAATATGAGTGCCATTACGATCCCATTATCTATATAAAAAAAACAAATATTGAGAAAAGCAAATCATATGCTGACTTCATTATTTTTCGCTTTATACCATTAAGAGAAAATTTTAAGTCTATTCAGTGTATTTGTGTCCTACTAGACAACATCTTTAGCGCATGCTTCAATTTGAAGTGAGCTGTCAAATTTCTCTACGAATTTATTAGTCGTCTCTACTGGGGACCTTGAACGTGACTGATTGTTTTTTTGTGTTTTCACACCCCCCTAGTTTCTTGTATTGGTATTGACTGTTTCGTTGACCTGAGGTCCAACCCTTTGTATGTGAGATTTCCTGATTATCGCAGTCGTTGCAACTTATTTTGTAGATGACGCTGATTTCATATTCTTTCGTTGTTGAGTCTTTTGGTTGACATAGAACTGAGTGAAGTGATTTTCTTGGTTTGTGTGTAATATCAATTCCTAAAGGTTTGAAGACTCTTGCAGTGACTTCTGAGATGTCCTTTGTATATGTTTGGGCGAATTTTTTGTGCTTTGCTAGGGGGCCTTTGATTTGGTAGGTTGACTTGGTTGTAGATGTCTTTTGATGAAGTCCCGTGGATATCCATTCTTTTGGAAGACATCCATGAGATATTTCTCTTAAGTTTTCCTAAGTGTGGGAGAGCTACAATGAGTCCTGGTCCTCTTGAATAGTATTTGTATACATTTTCTTTTTGTGTGTTACTGGGTTGTCACTGTTGTAGCTGAATATTTGAACTGTATGAGGTGATTTTATATAAACTTGAGTTTTTAATTCTCCTGTGGTTGTTCGCTTGACTAAGGCGTCCAAAACGGGATTTTCTTCCTGGATTCTTCTTCTCTTCTGAATTTGATGTCGTTGAAAACGCTGTTAATTAGGTTGTGAGTTTTGTCCAACTCCTTTCTTTCGATAATTACATATGCTGAAGAGTCCCAAACTAGGACGAAACAACTGTCGATTACTCATAGGTTTTCCAGTGGTTCTCTAACTGATGTCAACTCATGGTGAAATCCTCCATGCAATCAAACAAAATTCCTACAAAACCAATACTTGAAAATTACATATGTGTCAGCTACGTAACATAGGCAAATTTTAGGTTTGACCTTTCATAGGACTATGTTTTCGAGCCTTTTCATCACTGCTTCTGCAATCAAACCTGATATTGGCGATGCCATGGGTGTTCCTTTAACTTGCTCATTGAATTGGAAGTATGTTGTTAGGCATAGGTTTATGCGTTCCATCCAACTTGTGTGTTGTATTTTTGATTGTTGTGGCGGTGGGGAGATGTTCGTTGTTGCTGCGTAACTGCTTCATGGTCTCTTTAGCTACTTTCTGTCTTTTTGAGGTATATAATGCAGTGGCAAAGAAGGATACTATTTCTTCTTGGTCATCTATTTGAATGTTCTTGTTTTTCTCTAGAAAATGGATTGCAGGTATGATAGAGTGATCGCAAGAATCCATTTAGTGTGTTAATTTTCTTTATAGTTCTTTGGACAAATTGTATGTTGGAGTTCCTGAGAGTGATACAATTGGTCTTAACGGGATATTTGGTTTGTGAATTTTCTGCCTGCCGTAGAATCGGGGTTTGAATTTCATTCACCGTTGGTCTTGTTTTGTGATCTGACCTTTTTTGGTGAGCTTGTTTAAAGTTCTTTGGATCAGTTTGTCTAATGAGATGACATCACATAATTCTGGCCAGATAGTAACTTTGCATGTAATTTTGTGTGGATTTATAAAACCACTGTTTAATCCAGTGGTTCAAGAACACTGCTTTTCTGCTGATGTTATTATTTAATCTTATCTAATTTATTCCCTCTATCCTGTGTTTAAAGTACAGGTCTCGAGCGCTTCTTTATGACTGATTTCCTAAGAGGCGTTTCTTTTGTAAGAGCACTTTCTCATGTATTAATGTCTTCGAGGAAGAATATATATACAACTATGCTGGTAAGACTAACCAGTCTTAGCTTAAGTCAATCACCTAGCTTAGGACTTCAGTCACTGGTTAGGTTAACCACCTCTGTTGATAGACATTGCTAAATTGTTTAACAAAACAGTATTCTAAATTTGTCTTCTACACCAGTAAGGCACTTATGTGACCACCAAAACTGGGATACTGGCATTGGAAATAGAGGGAGCTGCATTACATATCATCGGCGTGAAAGATTTCACTTGAATAAGCTGTCGTTTGCTGGGCATCTATGTGGTACATTTATTATTATTATTACTATTGTATCCTTTAATTCCTACAGGAACATAATGCTTCAGCCGTACGTCTCCATTGCGTTCAGTTCTCTGCTAGAATCGTCACCTGGCTCCAAGTCTGACCACACGTTTTCATCTCCTCTTCACATGACCTCCTCTAAGTCACCCTTGCACTGACGACCAACTCGCCGCTTCCCTTTCAGTCGGGTTCCAATAGAGCAATGGCTTGTCTAGTGATGTCACTTGATGGCTTGTTTCCTCAGAGTATGGCCAATCCATCTCCATTTCTTCCTGCCTATTTGTTGCACAATCGGTTCCTGCTGGGTTGGTTCGCTCATTGCCAGAGATCCCTCTTAGTTACTGATCTTTTCTGGCCATCTGATCTTCAGTGGTATTGAGCAAAGACAACTGTTAATGAAAGTCTGTAGTTTGTTTGAGATGCTCTTTATGACGTACAGTGCAAGTCTCCGATTCGTATAGTAGCACTGACTTCACATTGGAGTTGAAAATCCGGTACATTTTTTAGCGCATTGGAAATTTGTAAGAAGCATAATCTATTCTCCATCTGTTTTTAAATTAGGCATCATCCCTGGTGGGGTGGCAATGAAAATTCATTCGTTTTCAAGTCGTTTCTTCGTAAATCAAAGATACTCATATCCATACGATAATGTAAGAAAACATCTGTAACTTCATGGAATGGCTATTATGTAATGAATACTTGATATAATCGACAGAAATCTAGAAATGTGATCTGAAACTCCGCCTAAAAGTAGCTATATACCAGAAGTTAGACCATAAATTTTCACAAAATGTCCAGATCTACAAGCTACTTGTCTACAAGAGAGTATCTAACTGTATTTACAAAGAGGTCGGATGCATTAGATCTGTTCAAGATAGCCATTTCTACCATATTAGTTTGTTCATTAGGTGCATCACACAGTGAAACAGTATTACTGTTTACTGGATGACACAGTTTCGAATACATTGTATTGTTCATAATCATATCACTTATAATCACACGACTTCGAAAATTGAGTTTTACAGTTTACTTTGTTCTCTCCTATTTGTCGTCGTTGGGGTAGTAGAATTTTCCAGATGTCCAACTGGACAGGTGTTGAATCATTCCTATTACACGTATTTGCAGTTGATTCGATAAACAAAGATTCCGCTATCAACCTCTCCCCCCACCCCGTTGTTACACTAGACTTTAAAACTGTCATCTTATTCCATCCAGCCTATTGGTGTGGTTGTGTGTAATTGCATGTAGTGAGTGCTATAGCTGAATTATTCTCTAGATTTCTTATCTTATTCGGGTCAACAAATCTAGATTTTGCTAGGTTTTCTTGTTCGTCTAGTCTGACTGCCTCTTGTTCTACTACTCTGATCTATGTATTTGACATGGTATTGAATACACGGTATTAGAGGCATTGCTAGAGGACTGTGTTATAAGATCATAACCCACATTGGTAACTATTCCCATTAGCTTTTGCTTTAACTGCTCAATTTCACATCTGATATGTTGCAACGTTTTGACAATTCCCATATATTAATAGCCATTTCTAATTCCTTAAGATGAACAAATCCAGCATAAAGTTAACCACCGCAAGACAAGTTGTGTGTATGAACCTAATGAAATTGAGCTGGTAACAATTATAACACTATACGGGGAGAATTTTCCCTTCTCCGAACATAAACGTCAGGATTCGATTGACGGGCGAATCATTGAGGTGGTTATGATGAAAGTGCAAGTTTCTATTTCACTTAAGACGGCTTAAATTTCATACTGTAAGCCTTTCAAAGATAAACTCACTTGGTACACATTCTGAAATATTTGAACCTTGTTGTAAACTTGCAGCCAACTGCCAAGTGCTCATCAAAAGCGTAGTACTGACATTATAATCTGGCCATATCATAGAAGAATACACTTGGATGCATGTTGTAGTAGTAGCAGAAGTGGCATTTATACTATTACCATCACATGTATACGTATTAATCAGATAGAAGTCTAAAGCAGCTTGACTTTGTTCAGGATATTCATTAAATGTAACCGCCAAGCTTAAATCTGATCTAACTGGAATTCTCAGTGTTGTATTCTTCAATGATGCGTAGAATCCATCACTTCCTTGTACAACACTGGTCTTCTGTAATTGTTGTTGTACATGATGTTTAAAATTGCGTATTGCCATGCCCAAAGTTAATTTCATTGCTAAATAATCTTTCTGTATATTGAATACGAAATGGAGAAAAGGCGTAAACAAAGAACAGATAAGAATGGATCACGCTGATAAAAGATGACAAATATATTCAAATATACGAACAGATAAAAAGAACACCAATGGGATCATCGTCCATATCAGGATTAATAGCTGAAGCTGTCATGCAAAGATTAGAATTAATAGCTCTACCTACAATTAAACCAAAAGTCTGGGTACGTTACGTTGATGATACAGTTGTAATAAAAGAAATGTGGTTTGGGATGTACTCATAAATTAATAAATAACATATTCGAAGATATCAAATTCACAAGAGAAGAAGAACTAGATAACAAAATCCCACTTTTAGATGTCTTAATCAGGAGAACTAAGACAGCAAATTTAGAGACACAGGTATATAGAAAATCAACGCACACAGATCAAATACTCAACTATAGTAGCAATAACCCAATTACCCACAAAAGAAACTGTGTGCAAACATTGTTTAAAAGAGTTTAAACACACTGTAGCTCTCCAGAGTTGAAAAGATTGGATGAAAAATACCTACTAACGGTCTTCAAAAAGAATGGATATCCACAAAATTTCATCAAAAAGTGTTTAAAATTGAATCACAACACCAACAAAAAACCATCATCAAAGAACACAAGAAACTTCATCCTACCATACATGAGAAATATCTCTGAAATAACAGCTAGAATACTGAAAGTTTGAAATAGATAAAGCAAACAAGCCAGCTAGCACAATCACTTCATTCGATATTGTGCAAACCGAAAGATCCAACAGAAAAAGGAGATAAAGTTAATACCATTTACGAAATAAATTGTATGAACTGTAACAGACATTAAATCGGTCAAAGTGGACGTCCTCTTCGAATCAGAATCCAAGAACACAAATTGGCTGTATAAAGGCATGATGTATATTCTTCTATATCAATGCACGTAGATAATTATGGACATCAGTTTGATTGGGATAATGTCGAAATTTTAGACAGAGGAAACACCAAAAGTGCCAGGGAATTCCTAGAAGCCTGGTACTCAAACCAATATGCGTTTAACAAATATGTTAATATAGACCAAATCTACCAACTAATAAAAAGTAAATCACATGTGACGAGAAAGTTTAAAATCCAAATCAATAAAAAATGATCAATACATCTGTAAAGATGGTTACCGGGAAACGCAATTCTATCAGTCATGGAAAATTTAAATCAGTTCACTTTTTGCTAAAAATTGCGCTGAAGATGTTGTCCAGAAGGATGACGTAAGGTCCGCAATTAAACCAACCAGTTCAAAGAACACCACTAAACAAATATCAACCTCAAATAGACCATTTCATGTTGAGAGTTAAAATTAACCGTATTTTTTTATTATTTCCATAGGTTCTGAGGGGAAAATAGAACTTCAGCAGGACATTTCCACTCTCTCTTTAGCTGGTCCCATAGTTGATCCATATGCTTTCATGTCCTCCTCACATGACACCCTCCATTTCATCGTCAGACTAACGCCTAACTTATCGTTTCGAATTTGAGTTCCACTCAAGCAAAGGCTTGAATCACGATGTCATTCACCAGTCTCCTTAGTGTCTGACCGATCTATCTCCATTTCCTTGAGCACTTTTGTTGAGCAGTAGGTTCTTGGTTGCCTCTATTCACTGAAGAGTTCCTTGTTGCTAATCCCTTCTGGCCATCTGATCTTCAGTATGGCGAAAAGGCCACTGTTGATAATAGTCTGCAGTAACTGATCGGATTTATCTACACAGTAATTCTATTATGATTAAGATATTATTAGTTGTTTCATCTGGTTGACCCCAGTGGTTGTGATTTCTCACTGAAACTTCAGACAACTTCGTCATATGTTCAATGCGTTGAAAATTGTCGAAATCATTAAGGTATTTTGTTTCATCTTTTTATTAAGAAATCTTAGATTTATTTCATATAGAAAGCGTAAAGTACTACTACTAATAAAGCTTTATTTCATATAATATGTTGAAATATATAGTACGGAAATTCTCGGCGTCTTCAACTGCAAAGTATGTCCTCTTCTTGTAGGATGTATGGGTAAAAAATTAATCTGCTGTATAACATGTGAGTTTGTGTTGTTCCCTATGAAGAAACAAGCATTCTTCTTCATGAAACACTTTCATTCATTTCCTTTAAGATTTGCACATCATTTTCTTGAATTCTAATTCAAACTGTGCGCAAGTTCATACAGCGATCAATAGATATATAAATGTGTGAATAAATCAATAAGAAATGCAGAAGAGTTCAGGCATTATGATGAATGAAAATTTTGGTAACCGGGTAATTAAAGCAGGTCTGAACCTCGAATTTGTATTATTGGACATATTGGTTAAAATGGCGTTACATAGAAGTCCAGAAGATAAATGCCAGTGTGTATGTTGCAGTGTCACGAAACTTGTATAGATTCTTAAATAAAGATTGACACTGAAAGCCATATTTGATTATGTCCCTTCTAACAGTCTATGTTAAGGTTGGAATTTCGTAATCCATAGGATGATTTCTTCCTCTAAGCTGTTATTATTCGACACTATTCTATGAGTTCTTTTATAATTGGTTCCATGGTTCCCCAGAAACTACCGTTTACTTGTCACATGACATCCTCCATGTAACCCACGGGTCCACACCCAACTCTCCGTTTCCCATAGGGTTCCACACAAGCGATGGCCTGTCGCACGATGTCACTAAATGGTCTCCTCGGCGTTTGTCTGATCTATCTCCATTTTGTTCCTCACATTTGTTAGGGAATAGGTTCTAGGTTGGTTCATCACCAGAGATCCTTGTCGCTTACCCTCCCGCTTGGTCACCTGATATTCACTGTGGAGCCAGTGAAGACAGCTGTCAATGAAATTCTCCAATAGCCTTTCAGAAATGTTTTCCTTGACGCGAAAGTCAAGTTTCTCGACCATATAGAAGAACTAGCCTCACATTGGTATTGAAAATCCGAATGTTGTTGTTTGCGTTGATTTCAGTGGATTCCCGGACTGATTTTGGAGTGATGAAGCTCTGTCTTGGATATCCGACCCTAGCTAACTTCGACATCTTCATCCGTGCTATCTGCCTCTACTTGAAACAACGCTGCCGGAATAAGTGAAGGAAGTGCCTTCCTTCAGATTTCTCCTATTGGAAGGGATTGGTGCTTCTTTTTTTATTGATTGTTGGGTAACTTCAACACCTCTATCTCCATTATGTTCTCCTGACTTTAGCATTGAATATCTGGATCTTCCTCTTTTGTACTGACCAAGACAAGCTACTAACTCATAGTTTCCAGTTCGCATTCCACTCGAGAGATGGTCTGGTGCTTGATGTCATTCGACGGTCTCCTCAACGTGTGTCTGATCCATTCGCATTTCTTACATAATATTTGTTGCACGGTCAATTCTTTTCTTGGTTCATTCCCAGAATTCCTTTCTGCTAACCCTTTTTGCCAGGCCATCTGATCTTAAGTATGAAGTAAAGGCGGCAGTATTGATAAGAGTCTTCAGTAGTCCGTTGGAAATGCTTCTGGTGACAAACCAAGTCAATCACTCATATAGAAGAACTGAATTGACGTTGGTGTTGAAAATCTGAATCCGGTTCCTTGTGCTTGTTAGATTTCAGACTAACGAAGGTGTGAGTTGTTTTTAGGATCCTGACTTTGAAGTCTTTGAAGTCCATGCCGCCTAGATATGTGGTAGTGATTGGTGTTTGTTGTCGCTGTTGTTCGGCGTTGGGTATCCTTCTTCCCTTCTTCTGTCTTCCCTATTTTCACTTGACATTAGCACTTCGAATGTGGATCTATTCCTAAATGTTAAGTGTACACACTCGTAAATTCAGTAATTCTAAAACTTTTAGTAGGCTACATTTTTTTATCACTTGTTATAATGCGACAGTGAATAGTGACACAAAGGTAAATCCTCCTCTGCTGTGCTCACTGAAGCTGGTGTCCCCCAAGGTGCCGTACTCTCCTCACTTCTCTTTTCTTTCTTTCTACATGACTTACCATCTTCAAATGACATTAATTTTGTTAAATATACTGACGATCTGGCTGTATCTTTGCCTGTCAAGTGTCAAAGTGACTGCTCCAAACTAAATAGCTTTTTATCAGAAATCAGCCAGTGGTCCAAGGAAAACGGTCTTACCTTAAATCCCTCTAAATGTCAAACAGTCAATTTCACCTTTAGGCATAAATCTGACCTAAACAAACTGGTTAGCTCTCACGAGGTGTGCAACATAGATGACACTGAAATAGAGACCAAATCGGAAATTAAATATCTAGGCGTCATTCTATCTGCTGATCTTTCCTGGTCGTCTCATATCTTGATGATTTCTAAGAAAATATTCCGTCTTACCTTCTACATCAAGAAGTTAAGAATAACCCAACCCTTACTCTTACGATTCGTTAACTCTTGCATTCTGCCTATTATTCTCTATTGTTCCCCCTTAGTTTTTCCAGGGCTACTGAAGAAGGACTATATCTTATTACGTAGGATGTTAAAGGTTGTCAGCAGGGTAAGCAACGTGCCACTTAACCAGCTTGTTAATATTCTGGTCGACAAGCACTTGGACTCATGTGAAAAATGGGCTAAATCCATTCTATCTAACTCACACCACCCTCTTCATTCACAACTCTTCCCTTGTATCTCATCAGGCAAAACCAGAAGCCAATATAGAAAACTATATGCTCGCACCAGCAAGTACAAAAACTCAACCATACCCTACTTAGCTCGTGTTCTGTGCGATAAAGAAAGCATTAGGCGTGAGACTTATAACTTATTAAATAGTCAGTAGAACAACTGGATCTCGTCTTTCCAACTCATATCATTTATAGGTACAACGTTTTCTTTCTTTCTTTTCCTTTTCTCTCTCTCTTTTTGTGTTATGTGCTGTTTTGTTTCTCTCTTCCTTACAAACTCTACTTAAAACATTCTTCTTCGTTCTTTCACACTTTGTATATATCGACCTTTTTGTTAGCGCTTACGCCAGTAAATATGCTAGTATCTACTTTTTAACACCCAAACATTCTGTTCACTTTTGGCTTTGCTACCGATATGTTAATATGTTGTTGTCAAAACTAACTAAGATTACCCTTAATCTATGTAGAATTTTATTTATTGTTAATGTACAAACTGGATGCAATACTGTAGTGAAATGCTGAGAATTCCATTCTGTATTACAAGTACTGTTTTCGAATAAAGCAAATTATTATTATGATTATTATTATTAATAAAATTAAAAATCAATAATCTTGTCTTACCTGGTTTAAATAATCATCAGTTAATTGTAGCTTAGATCCATACGGATGTGAAGTGAGCACAAATGCAGAACTCATTATCGAGTTGACATCATTCTGTGCAGCATAACTTCTCCATACTTTGAGTACATCATATGAGAATAAAGTCATATCATAGGCTATAAACATGATTGTTTTCAGTATACTTGGATTCCATTGATAAATATCATTGAGGAAATTCGAATAGACTGCCAGTTGGGCGATTACAATACAAACTAGTAAAATTTAAAAAGAGAATATCATGAGAAACACTTCTTTAACTTTGTGAATATTAGAAATATTTACATAAAGTTTTATATGATCTTTTAATGTTTATGTTTGCTAAACAGCTATGAGTACAATTCATTTTGACATGAACTAAATGTAAATTTATACGAATAGCTGAAGGGCAATTGCCAAGAATCGTTGAGTAAACGTTGTGCTTATTAATTAGGCTCATCAACTACGCAGGTTGTTCTGGGTTCGATTCTCAGTCTACGGACTCTGTATACCTCGCTAAGCTGTTAGCATCCTGGTAAAGAGAGAAGGTTGAGTGTAGGGCTAGCAACCCCATAAAAATGAAACCACAGCTACCGAAACTTCAAAGCCGAAGTGTGAAGTCCTATTTTCCGCTCGGAGCCCAAAAGAAAAAATAATGTTTAGAAGATATTCATATATTATATATGTCCAAACCAAGTTCACTTTGAACAGTTTGAAAACATTTGGGCATTGGGTATATGATATTCATCATAATTAAAGTTTCCAATGAATGAAAAACAAAACGATATTGTTGTTTTTACTGACGTTTCGATATTCAATGTTGCTAACAGCTTTATCGAAGTAGTATTATTAAACCAGAATTTACAAAATCTCAGCTTATATTGGTAACAACTTAATCATCGTTCCTCAGTATGGGGTCATTTTGCGTTGTCAAATTGGCCAATCGGTAAAGATAACAAAACCAAGTGTAGATTGTTGGATTTGATAAGTGTGTAAAATTATAAAAGTAGAGTGTGTTTACACAATGAAATCGCTTATCACATCCGTGCTGATTTTGTTATTTCATGGGGGAGGGAGGTGTTGTAACCAGGTCAAATTCTGTTTTATTCCATCATTCCTGTTCATCAGACAATTCGGATTCCACTTGAAATGAAGTGCTTCTGGTGATGTTAGACGTTCATTGTGATTTCTGAAGTTTCTCTGGATTATTTCAATATTGTCAAAATCAATTTTGTGGTCTGTTTCTATAGAGTGTAGACCACCTGTGACTGATGATTTTTCAAGCTTTTCTAGTTCAACTGGATTTCTCGGTGGTCGAACAGAGATGCTCTACGGTGTTCATTTCTTCTGATTCCCTTAATTTCTCTCTGGTGATGTTTGTGCGATATATATCGCATCACATTCCAAGGATTTTATTTTATAGACACAATTAGATAGAGAATCTTTAGGGATTTGGTCTTTTATATGGACAAGGTTGATTTGTAGTGTGCGTGTCTGATGTTTTGAAGAAAACTCTGATGTCGAGCTTATTGAGTACTCTTCTGATATCGTCTAACGTCTCTGCTCTATATGGAATGACAACTGTTGAGGTCCATGTTTTTGGAATACGTTTTCGACCATACTTAATGTCTGTGTTGATTCTGTTGATGAAGTCCTTTGGTTAGTTGTTTTGCTTGAGAGTCTCAGTAATGTTTGATATTTCTTCTTCTTTTTCTTTCTCATCCGTTAACATCAGAGAGTGTGCTCGTCTGAGAAGACTTGAAGCAACTGATACCTTTGCGCTGATGGGGTGTGATGATCCGAAGTCTAAATATTTGTTGGAGTGGGTTTTCTTCCTGAATATAGATATACTAAAATGTCAGTTTTCCCTCCTCTTAACTAGGCAGGCGGTTAGAAATGGTAGTTCACCGACGTCTGATTCTGCTTCATATATAATGAATACTTCTCTGATTCTCAAGTTTTAACTGTTTGTGTGTAAGTTAATGGGCAAATTATACAGCTGAATATTTCCGGAAGACGTTCTTCTGATTCCCATATATGATGTAACTAATATGGAGCACTTAAAACGGATCCAAAGATCTCAGCAAATATGCTCACGTCGCTATTGCGTAAAGTTTGGAAGGAAGGAAAGGTACCTACTGGTTGAAAGAAAGGATGGCCACCTTGTCAAACTACCTAAGTAGGCCGACTTAGGTCTCTGCAAGAACTGGTGTGGAATCATGCTCCTGTCTACGTCAGACAAAATATTAAGTTGCGTCACCCTGGAAAGACTAGGATGCACTGGATGCAGAACTGCCACTGGAACAAGTTGGATTCAAGCAGCGAAAATAATGGGTGAATCAGGCTGCAACTGTGTGCAATATCACTCGGTGGAGCGTAGAATAGAAGCCTAACTCAACTACACCAACTTTGAAAAGGACTTTGATAGACGACGCTGAATGTGAAATAATTTGGAAACTACTTCAACACTATGGAGCGCACCACCGCAAATCTTTATCAACCTCATTCAACAGCTAAATGACAATGCCACATGTCAAGTGATTCATAACGGAAAACTCAGTGACACCTTTGAAGTGGAGACATGAGTCAGACAAGGCTCCCTATTATCACTGATGATCATATTCCTAATTGTGGTGAACTGGATTATGCTGCATACGGTGAGTGGACAGCGAGAAAACAAGAATACAGTGGACTAATACGAAGACTCAGAAGATTTGGATTTCGTGGTCGATTTATGTCCAATGTTACATTGCTTTGAATACTTACAGGCAAAAACCAACAAGCTGGTAGAAGAAGCGGCAAAGACAAATTAAGGAGTAAATAAACAGCTGAGTTTCAGACAGCTGTGAGACGACCTGTAGAAACATTTTGAACAGAAAGCCTTTAAACCGATTCCTATTCGTTGACAGATTGACTTGTTGACCTATGTCCAGTTTGGGAATATACCAATCAGATCTGGCCAACGCAACATAACTCCCACTATCTAATCAATCATGATTACAAACTAACTGACATAACCTTGGTGATATACTGAATCATACATTATTGCGTGAAATATACTTTACGGACCATGTCATTGTGTATTCTCTCTTAAGTGGTGTGGGCTGCGGAAACAGGTAGCTGTTGTATAATGCTATTACCGAGGTCAAGTGTTATTCGTGATCAGCGCATGTGTCCAACTCGGCGTCCCTATTTCAGTCTCCATAAATTGCGAGACATAACACAGACGTACTTAGAAACATGTCTATTACGATAGAATTCAGTCTGCACCGAAGATAGGACTAGACACATTACACTAGTTACTGACTAGTGTCCAATCAAAAAAATGTCCAATACAGTCCTACAGGAGGTCAATCGCGAGCCTGAATAGCTCAGTGGTAACCTCTCTGACTGCAGGTAGAACTGGGTGACGCGGGTTCGAATCTCAGAAGGGACATGAGTTCCTTCAAGGTTGCAGATACGCCTTGCTGATGAGTGCCAACTAGCACGAAACCTAGGTCCAAGGCTTCCTGCCGGTTGCCTCCAACCATCTAATACGGTAATTGTTGTTTTTTCAAACACTGTCTTCTGACCTGAATTATTGTTGCAACACAACTGTTGATACATTTATTCCCCTCGATGAATTTGAATACAGCGTATCTTCGTATTTCGTCCATCTATTTCCACTATTCCGGTGAAACCAAGAGTGAATAATTTCAAACTCACTAAATTAGAGTAAACTGCATGTAGAAAAGGTTATGAACGCAAGGCTACCACCTGGTCCTATCAACATTTATGAATAAAGACCAGTGAGTACTGGAGGATTGTTTTGTTCTAATTGGGGACTCTGAAGTAGTACTAACCCACGACCTTCTGGTAACAAGACAACCTCGTAGACTATCCAGCCGTTGTGGCCCGATGCATTAGCTAGCCTACGAATTCCGACTTCTGTCAATCCATGATATATATCATAACCGCCGACCAATTTCATCGACGAGTAACTGTTCTTTCACCTATTCTCGTATCACTTGTCCTGTAAATAACGTCAGCTTATAATCGACCCTATAAATAATCAAGTCCCTGAAAACCAACAGTTTATTATTTAGAGCTGAAATAAATTATCGCCTGTCCTGGTTTATTTGTGGATGCTTCAAACGTGAATGAAACGGCTTTTTCTTTATCCGCCTTTGTGTGGTAAGCAGCTAATATAGAGTGATGTTAAAGCATACCGCCTAAATTCATCAGTTTCAACTGATAAGACTTGCTTGTTTGTTTGTGGCAGGAAATATTGTTTGACAGTTATATCTAGGCTGTAGGCTTCAGAGTTAAACATGTAAAAAATTGTATCTTCATTGTTTCATGGTAGTATATGTGGACTGTTGAATCAGAAATGTTTCGTTTTTACTAATATCTTAGTGGCGCTCACTCAAACTGGTGTATTCAGGGTATATGCCATATCAACGCCTCTGATGTAAAGCAGAATGAATCTAAAGAAATCATACATAAATCATGAAAGTTTTAATAAAGCAGACTGGAGTAGAGTTTGCTTAAAAATTTTTAGGTTGTTTTTATATAAAACACAAAGAAACAATAACTGGGTGACGTTTCGAGTACAATGTATTGCTTATAATCATATCGACGTATTCACTCGAATTTCTGATTTGCTTTATATAGCCCTACTGACTCCTATCCTCATTACAATGTTATGCTATATTGAAATTCTTATACAGAGCAAATCAGGGAGATGTGTGGATGCACTGACGCCATTATGAGCAATAAATCATGCTTAAGAAGTCATCCAATTTGATTGGACACAAGGTAGTAACTACTGTTGTCATGCGCTTAGTCTTTCGTTTGGTGCAGACTGAATTCTATATGTCAAGTTTGCAATGTGGCCACCTTGATAGGTGGCTCGCCATCATGGTACACCCTGATTTATTGTTATTAGATAGTTTGAGGAGATCGCCAGGAAGTCCTGGGCCTAGTTTTCGAGCTTGTTGTCACTCTTTAGCAAGCTTTATCTGTAATCTTGAAGAAATCCATCTCCTTTCCGAGATCCGAGCTCGTGTCACATAGTGCCATAAACATAGATAACAAGAATTGAAGTTGCATCGTGATGGTGATCACACTGCGTGCTTCACTAGTGGAATTCAGTATCCATAAACACCAAGGACCCAAGATGTGACAGTGTATAATGCCTAATGTCTAATCAAAGTACGCGTTACAGCACTTATTTATTATTTCTCATATTTGATTC